CCACTTGACGAGCTTGGAGCCTTCCATGACCTGCGTGAACTCGATGTCCATGAGGCGGAACTTGATGTGGTTGGGCAGCTTGGACGCGTGGCACCACCGGCGGCCAAGAAGCGACGCCATCGGCGCAGATCCACGGCGCAGGAACATCATCGCTTTCGTTCGACTTGGGAAAATGGCCCACGCGATCGGCTGCGACGACGCCATTGATTGGTGCTTTCTGCTGTACACCGGTGTACATACGTGGTCCTCCAGAAACACGCAACGGCCGACGCTATGCAGCTCGTTCGAAGCGCAATTCGAGCCCAGAGGATCCTACTAACGTACAATTGCTGCCTACTCTGCGCATGCATCGAACACACAGCTGCGCCCCCGACCGAGTACGATATAACGTACTCTTCTTCATCGACAGCGTCCGTCGTCCCACATTGGCGTGCCTGGATGCGGAGTATGAACAGGTCGGGCAATACCGACACACACATGGTCCATGAAGGCGACGACAAACAGCAGCCGACACATTGTCTACTGGAAACGTGAGCCCAGCGCATTGCGGAAGATGCATTACGCGGGCATTCTTTTGTGGTGGGATATTCTTGTGTAAACCGGGGCACAATGTGGACGGTGTCTGTCGAACGTTAACCACATCGTATCCGGATGTGGAAAGTACTTCACACTAAAAACACGTTTTTCACGCACCACAACTGCAGGGAGCTCGTGGCTCGATCCTCGGTGCAAGCCCGTAGGTGTTAGAGAAGCGTCGTATGTAGCCAACTCCTCGCAGAGCAGTAGCGAGCGTCAGCAAATGGACTTGTCGTTGGAATGCCACCGGCACGCGATCGAAACGCTCAGTGACCATCTGAGTGACTACATCGCTCATGAGCATGCCACGTATCCTATCCGGATACCATCCGGCACGGCCTGGCCTTGCTTCGTCATTTGCGTCAATGGCCCTTCGTCAGCGACGCTCTCCTTCCTCGACGACGACCGGCGAGACCGACGCCCCGCCCACCTCTTCGCCTCCACCTCGTCCATCGCCACCGTCTTCCGCCCTCATGAAGATCGCGACCAGCGTCTTTGCGCTCATCTTCCTCGCCTCGTGCGTGCACAGCGTGCTCCCAACGACGACAGAAGCTACCCACGCCGACGATTTTATTACCAGGGACAGTATGCTCTTGGGGGACGTCGACATCGAAAGCAGATACATTCCAAGTGACCGTAGCGGGTACGTGAGCTTGTCCAGCGGCCGTGTCTTGGCCGATAGCCGTGGTTCCTCGGACGAGGACACTCTGCATGTGGGCCAAAGCGCTTCGTCCGAGATGCTAATCTGGAACGCCGACATCACGCTCCGCGCCAAGCACGGCAGTGGCGCGTGGGACGCGGCGCGCGCGCACATCCAGTCGCATTTGCTCATCCACGGCTTTCTCGAGAGCGAGTCCGAGTCGGCGGATCGCTACGCGTACTTGTCCGTGCGATGCGTTTCGCGCACAACCAACGCGACCATTTCATGCCCGAAGGACGTCTACCTCGAGCACCGCGAGGACCAAGTGCCACTGCGGACGTGGCGCTTTACATGGCGCGTCGAGGCCTTCCACGACATGGTTCGCGCGCTCGAAGGCGTGCCAGACGTGGTTCCCAACACGACGGTCGCGTCCAAGCGCGTCGCGCGCACCGATGCAAGCACCGAGTACCAGGATGCGTCGGGGCGCAGCGCCACCATGCGTCACACGCGTGCGGCGCTGGAGAAGCTCCTCGAGCAAGCGACGAACGTGCAAGAGATTGCGGCCATTCTCACGCAGGTCCAAGACGTCACCGCGAAGATCGAAGCCGCCGAAAGCGAGCTCCTGCGTACGTCGGCATCCGTGCGCCTCAGCACGATCGACGTCGAGCTGAAAGAACAGAACGCCGAGGGGCGCGTCGTGGTCGTCGACGACCTTGGTCGGTTTGCATCTCTTGTTTCAAGTCGTCGCTCATTTGTGCATGTGACTGGTAGCGCCATCCAGCACGTCGCGTTGGGCGGTCGCCTATGTGCGTGCGGTCGGCATCCTCAAGCAATGCGGCAACCTCGCCATCGACGGCAGCATGCTCGCGCTCGTCGTGGGAACGCCGATGACGATCGTGCTTTGGCTCGGCTGGAAGCTCTTCACGCGCCTGCGCCACTCCGACGACCGCTACAGTCACCTTGCATAACTCACGAGCTGATTAACGGACCATCAAGGCATATACAACGACATCATCTTCGTTTGCAGCTAACGACTAGTATATGGCTTACATGCGAAGACCAACTGCCGAATCGAAGAAGAATCGAGGTGGCAAGATAAGCCAGTAGCAGCGCCTCTTCGACGTCGCGGAGAAGCCAAACGACGTGTGCCAGCTGCGGGCCCGAGCACCTTCCGAGCAATCCAACTTGTCCTTCGTCATCGAGAGCAGATCTTGAAACTCGGGGATCATCAACCAAGCGGTACGTTATAAACGCAGCTTCGCCCAGCAGTGTACGCGAAGGCTCAAGTGGGTGCTTCCTTCTCGCGGCTCGTGTCTTTCGTCGCACCAAAGGCAGAGGACGCACCAGCTCTGCCTTTCCATCTCGCCGTCAACCACACTCGGCTCGCACGCTTTGTACGAGGTAGTAGGTTTAGCATCCGATGGCGTCGGTCGACTCGCTACCGTCCATGCAGGTATCGGATCAAGTCGCCGTCCGCACAGCTGCTGCTACCAGACAGGGCGATCTGAGCAAAGATCGCCACAGAAAACTGACACCTTGCCGTCCCACGAGCCAATCGGAGCACGCATGACCAGCTGGGCGCAGGTCCTTTCCCGTCGTCGTATGGACACATGGCGTCATTGTAGGGCCATGGGTGAACTTGAAGTTGGCCGACCAGAATCTGGATCTGGGTCTTGCAGCTCATTTTGCAACCGACTTTGCACCATGCACGCCGCCGTCTTTGCCCGCGCGGCCCGCCGCAGCTTTAGCGCCCGCCGCCGCTTTGCCCACCATGCGCC